ATACTTTCCCAGCAGATCCTACCGGGTTCAGGTACCTGCAGTTCTTCCCTTTGGGTGCTTGTGACCAGTGTTCCCTCTAATTTTTCCCACCCATGTGTGGAATGAATTTTGTTATGTGCACCTATATGGAGGTGATGTGTGACATGTCACCTTCATATCAGTGCATATAGCAAAATTCATGTGGTGTGGGTGGGGCTGAGGGGTTCGGAGTGTGGGAGGGGGCTCAGGGCTGGGGGCAGTGGGTTGGGGTATGTGGGGGGGGTTAGGGCTGTGGCTGGGGGTGCAGTCTCTGGGGTGGAGCCAGGGATGAGGGATTTGGGGTGCAGGAGGGTGCTCCAGGGCTACGGCGGGGAGAGAGGACTCCCCCCAGCCCTCTCTCCCCACAGCAGCACCTGAGCTATGGGGGAGAGGCGCCTCTCCCTGCTGTGGCAGCTCCAGGGCTGGGGTCGCAGGATAGGTGCCTCTCCCCTGGCTTCCGCAGGTCCGGCTGGGGCTGGGTTCGGGGAGAGGCGCACTGCAACAGGGCCAGGCCGCCTGGGTTTGGGCCAGGACCCCCCAGTTGCTTCTGGGTCCAGGCCGCGCCGCACTGCGCTTCCCCAGGCGCAAGTGGGTCCTGGCCAGGCTACACTGTCCTGGCCAGGCCCGGGCTGGGCTGTCCTGGCTGGATCTGGGCCGTGCCGGCCGGGGTAGAGGCGCCCCGGCTGCGGCAGGTCTGGGCTGCAGCAAAGTTGGGGGCGGAGGGCCACCCTGGCTGTGGCAGGGGGGCCAGGCTAGGTTGGGGGGCCAGGGGAGGGGTGCCCCTTCCCCAGCCGCGGCAGGTTCCCAGGTGGGTTCCCTGAGCACCTGCACGGTGTTAAATAGGCTCCTGCGTGATTGCAGCTTACAGGGAATTTAGCTTGTTACCCTTAGATTGCAGGGGTGGCCAACTGCCTTCTTAGACAAAAATATTGTTTGTTTAACCACAGGAACAAAGCATAACATAAGGCGGGGGGAGGGGGAAATTTAACACAAAAGGTCTACCTGTAGGTCAGTTTTACCTAGATGATCATCATGTAGGCTGGTCTCTCCTTACTGTCTCTGCCAACAACTGCCCCCTCCCTCCAGAAGGTCACTGGTATTCCCCCCAAAGTCCTTGGTCTCAGTTTCCCAGCTGTTTTGTTTCTCCTGTGTTTAACAGTTGGGAAACCTGCCCTCTCACCCCCGCCCCCTCCCTGCCCCCACACACTTGACAATCTAATCCAGTGAGCTCAGCAGCTGGTCAGAGGTAAACAACACAAGAGCCACTTGTTCCAAGTTCTTTAAGTGTCAGCCAATGGATGGCTGTCTGCAGCCATTGTACCCTGTCCTGCCTACATGCAGTCAGTCGCTTCTAGAATTAACCCCCTATTTGCACAGTCAGCCTCCTTTCAAACATATAGAACTATGTTAATAAAATGATTACAGAGCAGCCCCGTGTTCTTCACAGTGGTCTTGTCTTTTCAAGTGCGAATAAAAGAGAAGAGGCCAATATGGCTCCACCAGGAGCTCTTTAAGGACATGAAAAATCAAAAAGGAATCCTACAAACAGTGGAAACATGGATACATTGTTGAAGAGGCGCACAGAAGAATAGCAAAAGCATGTCTGAACACAGAGAGAGAGGCCAAGGCACAAAATGAGTTACACCTAGCAAGGGACATAAAAGGCAATATGGAGAAGTTCTTTATACTTCGGAGCAAGAGAAAGACGAAGGAGACTGTAGGTCCTCTTCTTAGCTAGGAAGGAGAACTAATAACTGATGACATCAAGAAAGTGGAGGTGTTTAATGCCTATTTTGCTTCAGGCTTCACTATCAAGGTTAATGGGGACCATATAATTAACACAATTAATGTTAACAACAAGGAGGAAGGAATGCAAGCCAAAATAAGGAAAAAACAGGTTCAAGAATGTTTATATAAGTTTTATGTATTCAAGTTGGCCGGGCCTGATGAAATTCATCCTAGGGCACTTACGGAACTAGCTGGAGCATTCTCTGAACCATTAGTAATTACCTTTGAGATGTCCTGGAGAATGGGTGAGGCTCCAGAAGACTGGAGAAGGGCAAACACGGGAAGGAGGAACAAAGAGGATCTGGGAAATTATAGATCAATCACCCTTCCTTGGACAGGTGGCAAGATACTGGAACAAATGATTAAACAATCAATTCGTAAGCAAGCTGGAGGATAATAGGGTCATAAGGAATAGCCAGCAAGGAATTGGCGAGAAAAAAAAAATCATGCCAAATCACCCTAATTTCCTTCTTTGACGGGATTAATGGCAGTGGGTGGCGGGGAAGCAGTAGGTGTGATGTATCTTGATATCAGTAAGCCTTTTGATACATTCCCCCATGACATTCTCAAAAGCAAACTAGGGAAATGTGGTCTAGGTGGAATTTCTGTAATGTGAGGGCACAGTCAGGGGTGCCATTTAAGGCAGTTTCGTACAGGAGGTCTGCTCACAGCGCAGATCCTAGCCCCAGGTGAAGCTCTTATTTGCAGCACAGGCTGAGTGTGGAATGTAAATTCTGCAGAGGAGAGGTGCTGCTCCCAGCTTGTGCCCCTGGGGCAGGAAGCCAGTATTTTGCTTATAAACAGAGGCAGGGTGATTAAGATAAGAAAGGGTTGGTAATTAAATTAAGGATCTGGAAGTCTTTAAAAAACAGGAATCCCTCTGTGGGGGAGGCATCGAAGAGAACACAGGAGACTCAGAAGAAATACAGCCAAGGTTACACTCAGAAATGAGGGAGATGTGAGGGGGATAGGTGAAAAGAAGGGGCCAAAACCAAAGGGAGGGATAGCAGTGGTATAGAGAAGTTCCCAGTCTTACCTGTGGTAGTTATATGGCCCTGTCGCAGGGCAAGTACACTCCGTCCCCCTTTGGGGCAGGGCAAGGGTGTCACAGCCCCACGTTTAAGTCCGCCTGCCTGCCCTTAGCCTCAGGGTAGTACAGCCCAATAGCCAGAGGCAATAGAGTCACCCTTGACGTCAGGGCGGTGCGGCCCAGTGGCCAGAGTCGATACAGTCGCCCTCCTTAGCGGGGTTATGTGGCCTAATGGTCAGAGTCAGGGAAGTGGGCTGCTCCTTGGGGGGTGGCACCCAGGTTAAGGGGACCCAGGCCCCCCCCCCTCCACTAGGTCCCAGCCCAGGGCCCTGGTATTGGCAAATGTGCGTGCTACTGAGTCAGCGGGGATTCGGCCAAAACACACCAACTCAAAACCCAGTTCACTAACCGGTCCACTGCCTAGTTTCCCTGGACTTCTTTCTACCAGATCCCCTGATGCTGTGGCCTGGACATCTTCACGGTCTCCGGGTTCCTCTGGCTGCACTACCCGCAGTGACTCCAGCCTCCACAGGGCGTCTACAGGTATCCGGGTGTCTGCCTGAATCTCAGCATCTCCAGCTCCCACCGTCTGGGGTTTCAGCTGTTCCCAAGCTGGAGCCAGCAGGATGCATCCTCCTTTCTCTCTAGCAGCCAGCCTAGAATGAGCGGGGCTGCTCCCTTTTATACTGAGCCAGCACTTGGAGCATGCCCAGTAGGGGCGAGGGGGCATGGCTTCCTCTGCTCGTTGTGTGGGGTTAACCCCTTCTTGTCCAGTGTGTGGCCAGTACACCCTGTCACAGGTCCCATCACTATAATATCTGAGCACCTCACAACGTCTAACCTATTTTTCCTCACAGCCTCTCTGTGAGGAAGAGCAGTGCTGTTATCTGCATTGTACAGATGGCGCATTGAGGCACAGAGAGACTAAAGACCAGATTTTCAAAGGTATTTAGGTACCTAGTGGGATTTTCAAAAGCACGTAGAAGGTTAGGTGCTTTGTAAACCCCACTAGATGCCTCGCTGTATCTTGGAGTGCCTAAAAAATGTTGAAACTCTGTTCCTAAGGCCATACAGGAAGTCCATGGGGGAAGTAGGGAAATGAACCTAGGTCTCTCAGAGCTAGCTCCCTATCCACCGGACCAGCCTTTCTCTCTACTGCACGATGCAAAAAAAGAAGACTCTGATAGATGGGAGCAAAACCAAGAAGGCCAATTCTCTGAGACTCCAGCAAACAATCCCAGGCAATTGGGAAGGATGTCATATGTAAGCGGGGGAATGGTCCCACTATTATGGGGAACTTTCCTGGTTTATACACTACTCGGTTGAAGGCTAGCGAAAGGATCTGAGTCCTCGCTCCCACTTCCTTTCCCCAGAGCCCTGCCTGACCTCGAGGGCTCCCCTTCCACTATCCTGTGTGGCACAGTCCTCGTAATCCCAACAAGGCTGGGCCCAGGATTCCTGGGGGGCTCAACCCCCAATCTTGTTGTGGTCACTTAGGGCAGGGGCTAGGATGTCCCCACTCCGGGGTACTCTCTCTGCACTGGATGCTTCCCTGACCCACTGATCATAACATACAGTTCAAAGCAAATACAATTTATTAAACAGCAATCAATTAAAAAAAATAAGGAAAAAATGGGAAAGGTTAAAGGAAAACATGTCACCCCGCTCTGTGGCACGGGGACATCACAACCAGTGTCTCTGGGATGTAAGGGAAGTTCACAGCCTGTTCCTCACAAGTCCCAGGCCACTTCTCAGGCCCTGGTTGTGCTGCAGGGATGCCACGGGTCAGACACTTGCTCTGGCGGTGGCCACAGGCTCTCAGGCTCTAGGTGGCAGGACCCTTCTTCCCAGCATCACCCCCGCCCTATCGGGGTTACGATCCCCCTCCAAGTCTGGCCTGCAGAGCCTCTTGGCTGGGGGCATCTCCCTGCACTGGGCCTGCTGCCCAGGGTCCCCCTCGCTCTCCCCAGCTGCTCACCACCTCCAGCCCTGGCTCCAGCTCCACCACCCTGCCTCAGCTCCAGCTCCACCACTCTGCCCCAGCACGGCTGCTGCTGCTGCTCGGCCTCCGGCTCCCTGGCCTGCTCCTCTGGCCCCTCCAGCTCTGCTCCCAGCACAGGTCTGCTCCGTGGGCTGCTTCTGGGACGCTGCTCCCAGCACTGACCTGCTTTCTGGCCCCTCTGGATCTGGCACAGCTCAGCTTGGGTCCCTGCTCTCTCCTTAGCTCGGCCCCACTCTGTCTGACTCAGGCAATTCCAGCTCACACAGGGACGGGACCCCCCTGGCCTCCTGACTCCCTGATTAGCCTGCCCGCGCTGTCAATCAGGCTGACCTGAAGCATTGGCCTCTCCCCCATTACCCCTGGGGATTGTCAGTCACAACGTCCTGATTTCCCATCGACCCTTTCCCTTCCTTTTGGTACTGGGAGCTAGCCAACCAAAACACCCCCCTGAGTGTTAGTAAGGAGGCAATAGTCCCCTTACACATAGCTGACAGCATGAAAAGCAACACAGAGGTCAAGAAGGATGAAGAAAGAGAGAGAACAAGAGTCAGATGAGAGGAGATCACTTAACTTCCAAGGGGTGGCAGATTCTGCCCAATCTTGGTTGTAGAGCAATGGCTGCTGTGCAATTTTACATTTTAACTGAAAAACATTTTGTCATTTTTTTGTTCTGAGTTTGAGAAAAGGAAGGAACGAGAAAGTGTCGCAGGAGTATCAGAGATGTTTCTGCCTCAAATTCTTAGGGTTTCAGCTGAATCCAGGCCAGTTCCGGAAGAAAGAACAGAAACTGCATCCACAGAGTCCATAAAGTCGATGATTATTGTCATGATTTGTATTATTCACTGGGCACCATTTGTGTGCTCAGCACTGTTCAGAATATGCCTGAAAATGTGGCCCCCGAGCCAATGCATATGAAATGTGTAGCCCTGGATAAGATGGCTCAGATATTTGAGTATGAAATGTAGAGTTATTAAGCTCATGTTAAGATCTATGAGTGGAGGCGCTGACGGCAATAGAAGCTCCTGTACCGGTTTAATTTCCTTTCCTGCCTGCAGTGGCCCTGATATACCTCAGAAGACTCCAATTTTTTCTCAGCTTTAAAATGTGGAATGTTCTTGGTTTCATGATTTTGTCATGAGTCTCATGATAATTATTGTTTTCCTTAAAGTTCCAGCTACTGGAGTCAAGTGGATATGTGATGATTTCAGCCTTCATTCTAAAAGAAAAAGTAAGTTTCCAGCCCTCGTGGTTGTGGAGAAAGTTTCAAAATGTGACCCCAGTGCACCCG